GCCTCGGCCTCCCAAAGTGCTGGGATTACAGGCTTGAGCCACCGCGCCCAGCCAATAAATTTTTTTTTTTAAGATAGGGCTTTACTCTGGCACACAGGCTGGAGTGCAGTGGTACAATCTTGGCTCACTGCAGCCTCAACTTCCTGGACTCAAGCATCAATAAATCTTACCTACAGGGAGAGTAGACTAGTGCAAGGCTGAAGCCATGGTTGGTAAAGAAGCTGCAGTCAGCCGGGTGTGGTGGCTCACACCTGTAATCCAAGCACTTTGGAGGCCAAGACGGGCAGATCACCTGAGGTCAGGAGTGACCAGCCTGACCAACATGGTGAAACCCCATCTTTATTTAAAAAAAAAAAAAACAAAACTGCAGTCACTCATGTTAACCTGGAGAGAAGGATGTTTGGTATTTTGTGGATGGCAGTGACACTAATTTTGTCTGTACATAGAAAATATTAGGCAGTGGACTTATTTTGTATCACATGGTTTGTTTTGTAAAACATGGTTTTGGAGTGTATTTGTTTCATGCTGGTGTCCTGTGAGGTGTCCAAAAGGAGAATAGCAGCTGGGTACAGTGGCTCATGCCTATAGTCCCAGCACTTTGGGAGGCTGAGGCTCAGGTTCAGCACTTGAACCTGAGGTCAGGAGTTCAAGACCAGCCTAGCCAACATGGTGAAACTCTGTCTCTACTAAAAATAAAAAGATGATCCAGGTGTGGTGGTGGGTGCCTGTAATCTTAGCTATTCCAGAGGCTGTGGCAAGAGAATCACTTGAACCCATGAGGCGGAGGCGGAGGTTGCAGTGAGCCAAGATTGCACCACTGTGTTCCAGCCTGGGTGACAGAGTAAGATTAGGTCTCAAAACAAACAAAAACAAATGGAGAATAGCACAGACCAGCTTCAAACAACACTGAGGACTAGTTGTCAGACCAGTTTCCTAACGTTAAAGGCAGTGTTTTGCTTTCTCATTGTAACCCCCAGGAGTGATCCAGAGCTTCATTTAGAATCTGCAGAATTGTAAGCCTCCACTGTGGACCAGTATTCTTCAGAGTTGATTTTTTTTTTTCTTTTATATTGTGGAGGACTTGAGAATCTAGTAACTTGAGTGAAGTCAGAAGGTTGTGTGGGCCAAAAAAATCTTGCTTCTTGGTTGATAATCAAAGAGTACTTGAGATTATGGATGCTAAATGGCTAACCTGGATTCTATGCCTCTGGCTTTGCAAGTTACTTAGCTATTTTATGCCTGGTTTTCTTTGTCTGGGTAGGATGATATGTAATAATAGGTAATGCCTGAAGCCCTTACCCAGTACCTCACTGTTCTGAGTGCTTTACATATATATTTTTTGGTTTTTAATCCTCACAACAGCCTAGTGAGGTACGTACTGTTTTAATCTTTATTTACAAATGAGGTAACTGAGCACAGAAAGGTTAAGTGACGTACCCAAAGCTACAGTTAGTAAATGTCAGAACAGGCAGGCAGTGTCTTAGCTCAGGCTGCCATAAGAGACTACCACAGACTGGGTGGCTTAAGCTACAGACATTGGTTTTCTTAGAGTTCTGAAGCTGGAAGTCTGAGATCAGCGTGCCAGCATGGATCCTGGTGAGGGCCATCTTTCGTTTTTTTGTTTTTGTTTTTGTTTTATTTCAACATGGAAAGGAGAACACATCTTTCTAGCTTGCTGACTTGCTTTCTCACTGTGTCTTGGGAGGTGGGAGAGAAAAATCTCGTTATAAGGCCACAGTCTTATCTAATTACAGCCCCACCCTTGTGAACTCATTTAAACTTAACCACGGAAGGCCAGGTGCAGTGGCTCATACCTGTAATCCCAGCACTTTGGGAGGCCATGTGGGTGGATCACCTGAGGTCGGGAGTTTGAGACCAGCCTGACCAACATGGAGCAACCCCATCTCTTGTATTTTGTACTAAAAATACAAAATTAGCTGGGCATGGTGGCACATACCTGTAATCCCAGCTACTCAGAAGGCTGAGGCAGGAGAATGGCTTGAACCTGGGAGGCAGAGGTTGCCTTGAGCCGAGATTGCGCCATTGCACTCCAGCCTGGGCAACAAGAGTGAAACTCCATCACACACACACACACACACACACACACACACACAGACCTCCAAAACACCCAATCTCCAGATACAGTCACCTTGAGGGTTAAGACTTCAACATATGCCGGGCACGGTGGCTCACGCCTGTAATCCCAGCACTGTGGGAGGCCGGGGCGGGTGGATCACAAGGTCAAGAGATGGAGACCATCCTGGTCAACATGGTGAAACCCATCTCTACTAAAAATACAAAACATTAGCTGGGCATGGTGGTGCGTGCCTGTAGTCCCAGCTACTCAGGAGGCTGAGGCAGGAGAATTGCCTGAACCCAGGAGGCGGAGGTTGCGGTGAGCCGAGATCGCGCCATTGCACTCCAGCCTGGGTAACAAAGAGTGAAACTCCGTCTCAAAAAAAAAAAATAATAATAATAATAATAGTGTGATTAGGCTGGGCTCAGTGGCTCAGGCTGTAATCCCAGCACTTTGGCAGGCAGAGGCAGGCGGATCACCTGAGGTCAGGAGTTGGAGACCAGTTTGACCAACATTGTGAAACCCTGTCTACTAAAAATAAAAAAAATTAGCTGGGTGTGGTGGCAGGTGCCTGTAATCCCAGCTACTAGGGAGGCTGAGGCAGGAGAATTGCTTGAACCTGGGAGGAGGTTGCAGTGAGCCGAGATCTTGCCACTACACTCCAGCCTAAGCGACAGAGCAACACTCAGTCTCTAAATAGTGATTAATAGACCACAGTAGATGAATACATATCACAGATCAATTCATGATTATTTGTCCAAATAAACTGTAGAAATAGTAACTGTCATGAAAGGAGAAGCCACGTGTTCTGTTTGTCCACAGGCTGAGGACGACCTTGTTCCGGTTGACCACTGCTGGCCGGGACCTGCCGGTAGCGGAGGAGGCTGCGCCGCCTTCGGAGACCGCAAGGCGCCGGCAGAACATGGGGTGGCGGCAGCGACTCTACGTACACCAGCGCCCCCAGATGCACCGACTGCAAGGGCAGTTCCAGCGCGTCAGCCCCGCCGCCACTCCCCGCGCCCAGCCTCGCTTCCCCGTGGGACACAGACAGCTCCACACCTCTGGTGCATCGGTGCCGGAGAAACTGAAGAGGGGTGAGATTTAAGGCCACATGCCTGACAGGGCTAAGACACTGGGAAGGACTGATGTGCCAGCCACGTTTTCCTCACTGCCTCCTTCTGCCCATTTTGTTCTTTTGTTCTCACTCCCTCCTTTCTGCCTCCCTAAGATCTTTTCTCCTGAGTGGGATAATCAGGTTTAAAATTCTCAATTCACCATGGAGTACCGCTGAGGGCAGAATCAGACAAAAGAAAATGGGAACGTTGCTGGTCGGTTCCAGAGCAGGTCTAGAAAACAAGCCTAGATAATATTGCAAATCTCCAACATAAGTGGTCTTACCAGGGTTCCCTCCACTGCACTACTGGGCTATTTGGTTGGAAAGACAGGATTTCCAGAAGACCTGTGCTTCTAAAGCTGGGGTTCTTAGTCTGTTGGGAAAGGGACTCCTTTGAAACCACGATCAAAGCTAAGACCCTTCTTCCAACAAAAATATAGGCACACATAGACAAACTTTGCATTCAATTTCCTTAGGGTCCATAGTTTCTGAAAGCCCATTCCTGAAATACAGGTCTAGAAGTAAGTTGTAAGTGACCAGGATCAGTTGCAATTTCTTCTCTTCCTGTATTACAAATGGAATAGTCTGAGTTCTGACTTTATCTGGCTGCTGTGAAACCCAACGTTGATGACTGGGTGCTGTGGCTCATGTCTGTAATCCCAGCCCTTTGGAAGGCCGAGGTAGGTGGATCACTTAAGCCTAGGAGTTGGAGACCAGCCTGGGTAACACAAATGCCGTCTCTACCAAAAAAATATGAAAATCGGCTAAGCCTTGTGGCACATACCTGCAGTCCCACCTACCTGGGACACTGACACGGGAGGACTGCTTGAGTCCAGGAGGTAGAGCCTGCAGTGAACCCACATGGTACCACTGCACTACAACTTGGGCAACAGTAAGACACTGCCTCAAAAAGCAAAACAAAAACCTCAAAAACCAAACCCGACGTTGAATCTCTAGAGTAGACACACATTCCCATGGATCTAAATCGGGGATGAGTATCCTAAGTTTAAATAAATAAATAAATGCTGTGTGTAGATTTATTTATTTCATTTTTTGAGACGCAGTCCTGCTTCGGCAGGCTGGAGTACAGTGGCGCAATCTCTGCTCACTGCAACTTGTGCCTCCCGGATTCAAGTGATTCTCCTGCCTCAGCCTCCCGAGTAGCTGGGACTGCAGGTGTACACCACCACACCCAATTTATTTTTGTATCTTTAGTAGAGACAGGGTTTCACCATGTTGGCCAGGATGGTCTCAATCTCTTTACCTCGTGATCCGCCCACTTTGGCCTCCCAAAGTGCTGGGATTACAGACTTGAGCCACTGTGCCAGGCTAATTAAGTACTCTTATTAATACTCACTTATTTGGCCGGGCACGGTGGCTCAAGCCTGTAATCCCAGCACTTTGGGAGGCCGAGGCGGGTGGATCACGAGGTCAAGAGATCGAGACCATCCTGGTCAACACGGTGAAACCCCGTCTCTACTAAAAATACAAAAAATTAGCTGGGCATGGTGGCGCGTGCCTGTAATCCCAGCTACTCAGGAGGCTGAGGCAGGAGAATTGCCTGAACCCAGGAGGCGGAGGTTGCAGTGAGCCGAGATCGCGCCATTGCACTCCAGCCTGGGTAACAAGAGCGAAACTCTGTCTCAAAAAAAAAAAAACTTATTTTGCTTAGAATGGTCCTGTGATTTCAAGTTCCATACTCCAGACAACCAAACATTTGCAAAAAAAAACAACAAAGGCTGGGCGTGGTGGCTCATGCCTGTAATCCAAGCACTTGGGAGGCCAAGGCGGGCGGATCACCTGAGGTAGGGAGTTCAAGACCAGCCTGATCAACATGGTGAAACCCTGTCGTCTTTTTTTTTTTTTTTTTTTTTTTAAAAGAGGGCCGGGCGCGGTGGCTCATGCCTGTAATCCCAGCACTTTGGGAGGCCGAGGCGGGTGGATCACAAGGTCAAGAGATCGAGACCATCCTGGTCAACATAGTGAAACCCTGTCTCTACTAAAAATACAAAACATCAGCTGGGCATGGTGGCACGTGCCTGTAATCCCAGCTACTCAGGAGGCTGAGGCAGGAGAATTGCCTGAGCCCAGGAGGCGGAGGCTGCGGTGAGCCGAGATCGTGCCATTGCACTCCAGCCTGGGTAACGAGAGCGAAACTCCGTCTCAAA